AGCAGCTTGGACTGTAACCCAATTAATACTAACTTGCCAATTCAGTGATTACTACAGGTCAAGCTTTATGCTAGGCAGTAGAGCTGGAATCATAGTTCTTGTCCTCATGGAAAGTGAAGCTATAACTGAGTAGTTCCAAGTTCATTAGGTTAATCGGTTTTGGAGGGTGGAGAAGCAGGACCCACAAATGAGGGAGATTTTAAACTATAGACTCTACTCCTGTGTTTCTGAATATTTTTATTTTTTCTGGCCCTGAGCCGTATGAGCTTGTTCATTCATTTGACTAATATTTGAGGGCTTGTTAGATGTCAGGCTGAGGAATAAGAGTGGTTAAAACAAAAATTCTTTCTCTTGAGGATCTTCATTCTGGTTAATGAAGACACCAAACAAGGTAAAAAAAATATATGTGTGTGTTTACTAGTAAGTTCCAAAGAGGAAAAAAAAAAAAAAAAAAAAAAAAAAAGCAGGAAAGGAAGATACCAGGGTTGGGGAACAAGGTGGAATTATAATTTTAGATATAGTAGCCAGGGAAGGGATCAAAGTCCAAGAAGATGAGGAAGTTGTTATGTGAAACAGTGATTTAACCAGTTCTTATTCAAGGCAATTCAGAAGGCATGTGAATGTTACTGCAATGATCTGTGCTTTTCTGCAGGAAAAGGAGTAATTCAAGCAGAAATAGCTAAAGGTACAAACTTTTAAATTGTTTGTTCTTTAGTCTCTGCAGGAGATACAGTAATAACTGAAGTGTTACCTAGGTGGAGACAGGAAACGTTAGTTGCTAACAACTTTGGATTACCACCCCTAGGAAACTAGCCACTTGGAAGACCAATCAATAAAGGAATGTTCAACTCAGTATTTCACCTGATACGAGGTTAGTTTAAGGTGGAAAATCAAAGGATACGTGCTTAGATGTAAATACGCCTTTCAAATTTACTTTAACCTCTAGCTCTGTTTTCCCACTGTATTTCATTCAATAAATATTTATTGCCTATTTTCTGTTTAAAACTATGCTAGGCATTGAGAAAACAGCAGTGAACAGGATAGATGATATCCCTGTTCTCTGTTCATACAACTTACAGTTACTAGTGGGAAGAAGCATTGGGCTACTAATTATGCAGTTATTTAGTAGCTGTGATTGGGGAGGCAATATGGGGTTTTGAGCGGATATAATCTTACCTCAGGATTTAGGCAAGCCCTTTCTGAGGAAGAAACATTTACCTGGAGACATGAAGGATGAGAAGGCATCAAGCCAGAGGAAGGAGGAGAGACAAATAGCTTAGGCAGAGGAGCCTTAGGGATTGAAAGGCCACTGGAGTGTAAGAGGAGTGAGAGAAGACGAGGCTGGTGGGACCAGATGATTCTGGTCCTTATTAGGCTTTTGTGTTTAATCCTGAGAGCAAAGAGAAGCCATTGGTATATATGCTGGAGCTGGAGGCAGATGTGTTTATTGAGTGAGGAGAGACAAAAATGGAAGTAGAACTTTGAGTTAGGGTTGTGATGGTGGACATGGACAGGAGTAGAGTGGTGCCTAGGGGGTGATGAGTTACATATTGGAGGATGAGGAAGAGTTTAGGGTCAATAATGACCACCATGCCTTTTTTACTTTGGGCAGCCATACGCTGGTGCAATCTATTCAGATGAAGACTGAAGGAGGATCTAATTTAGACAGATGATGAGTTTTAGGCTTGTTGAGTTTGAAGTTTCCCATGAGATACCCAAATGGAGGTGTTGAGTGGGCTCAGGGATAGTGTGGAAAGAGTCATCTGAAAAGCAACTGAAGCCATGAGAGCAAATGAGATAGTTTAAGGGGAAAGTGCAAAGTGAGAAAAGATCCAGAATAGCTGTCCTCCAATTCTGGGCATACCTGTTGGGAAGTACAGACCTCTTTACTGTTTCCTGATAGCACGTGGCTGATAAAGGACAGGTCACTGACAGGAAGCAGTTGTTTGTACCGCTGCACGCACTTCTGAAATGGCCATCCTGGTTAATAATGATAGCTCACATTCAGGGCATTTACTACATGTCAAACATGAGCTGAACACTGTACTGATCATGTTTCACTCCGTATTGAAAATCCTTTGAAGCAGGTATTGTCATCTCTATTCTACAGATGATGAAACGGGCTATCAGAAATATGATGAAGGCATGGAGTGGACAACCAAGCTCAGGTCATTGGCTCCAGGACTCAGACTCTTGGTCACCACTATGCTACCTCTCCTTGGCTCCTAGCATCTGCAACTACCTCCCCACCATGATCTTCAGCCTCTCCCCCAACCCCCACCAACAAAAATGTCTTCCTCTACCCTCTTGGCTGCTCCTGGTGGCTGGTTATAGCAGAGGAAGCCAAACACCTGTGACATGGGCCCTATTCCTATTTTTAGCCTGCCATGCCCTGTCTCCAAAGGTGATTTCAAGACATCTTGGAACTGGTGGGAGAGCAAAGGGCAGGAGGATGTGTGCACAGGTCTACTCCCAGACAGTCATCTCTCTTAGCTTGGGCTGCTTCAACAAAATGCCATAGACTGGGTAGCTTAAACAGAAATTTATTTTCTCACAGTTCTGTAAGCTAGAAGTCCTCCAAGATTAGAGTTCCGGCTGAGTCGGTTTCTATTGAGGGCCCTCTTCCTAGTTTGCAGATAACCATCTTCTCAGTGTGTCCTCATATAGCCTTTTCTCAGTGCCTGCGCCTGACCAGAGTTGAGAGCTCTCTGTGGTCCTGCAAGGACACTAATCCTATCAGAACAGAGCTCCACCCTTATGATTTCATATAACTTCACTTTCTTACTCTAAATACAGCCACTCTTGGGGTTAGGGCTTCAACGTAGGAATCTTGGGAAGACATATGCGTTCAATTTTAACACCATCTAAATATCCAATCACCACATTGTAGTCCACTTATTCTAAATATCTGTAGAGGGCAGATGTGAATTCAGACACATCCCTGCTGCTCAGAAGAGAATCTGGGGCTGGGTTCAACATGAGAAAGAACCCATTACCTCTCAGTCCAATACTATCCTAGAAAAGAGAACCATGTTACTTGGGTTCACAATGCTGGGAGATAGTACCCTTACTGACCCTGTGTGCTTTCTAGATTCCAGGTCTGTGCAGGCTCAATTACCCAGAAACTTATTCCCAAAGTATCTATTCATCTGAAGTGGCCAAGCATTTGACTTAGGTGGCTGAGGCCACTGCAACCCTGTAGAGACATCAGAGAGATCCCAAAAGCCTCCTGGATTACTCTGGTTTGAGCTGATTCTGGCCCAGGAACTACAAGTGAATCTTAAGCCAGTCATGAGTAGATGATGTTCATCTACTCATGTTCTTCCATGAAGGAACCAGTCTTTGCATTTGTTTGTGGTCACAAAAGACAGTGGGCCCTAGTGAGAGCACATCCTGTTGGGGGGGGTCTCCTTCTCCCAGCAGCAGTGCTGCTTCAAGCCTATAGCTCAGTTCTACAAATAGCTATCATTTGGACGCTCATTTTGTACAAGCATTATGCTAGCATGTTATTGGTTATAATAACTTTGGTTACACTCTATTATTCAAACTTGTAGAGCTAGGTGATATAATACCCATTTTGCAGATGAGGGAATAGGCTCAAATAGGTTATTTGCACAAGGCCATACAGCTAGTGAGAGGTGGAGCTGGGATTTAAAGCCAGGCATTTGAACTCCAGAGCTTGTACGTTTGACCGCTCTGCATACTGCCATCAGATCTGGCCACCACCACATGTGGTGGAGGGATACTCTGCCTCTACATTAGTCTCCTAATCCCTCAGACCAAGGCTGAAGGGTCCCCCATTTCAGCAGCCTGTGATTTTGTATGCCAGCCACGGGCCCTCATATTTCTCACATTTATTTCCATCTAGTCCTCTCTGCAACCAAGGTTCATGGAGATTAGCTTGGGTTACCTTTATTATAGGCTGCAGAGGTTTGGCTACCTTTCTGAAGACCAAACTGAAATGCTGTATGAGGTGATCATAGAATTGGCATTGTTAGGACCTGGTGGGTATTAGTTCTGGAAGGCGTGGAGAATCAAGCCCGGGGAGGCTTTTCTGGTTTCTATGCCTCCTCTCCAGTGCTTCCTGGGATAGGAGCCAGGAGGGAATCTTGGGCACTGACTGGCTGGGCTGGGCCTCAGGAGCCCTGGCCAATCTCTCTTCCCCAACCTCAATCTGGCCTCAGGAACCAGTTTCAGTGTCACAGCTCTTAGAATTGTTGCAGAATTTTGTGCCTGTACGCATTTGGCCAGAGCCAAGAGTCCTTAGTTGTCTAAAGATTGCCAAAGCCCAAGTGACCCTGGCGTGGGTCAGAATGACTGGATTAGCCAGTCTGTCAAATTCATTTTCAGTCAAACCTTCTCTAAGCTCTAGTGCTCTAGAGCCAGGTGACTCCTGAAACGGTTTTAAAGCCCCATAAAAAGACTCCCTATAATTGGGTTAACTTTGGTTAAGGTTTTTGTAAGGTTATCACAAGCCTTTCTAGTCCCCCTCAAGTTCTTTGAAGCTGTTTTCCCCTTAACTGGGTTTATGCATCCATTTCCCTCCTGCCAGGTTCTCCAGGGCAGGCCCCCATCTCCTTTGGGAGGAAGTGCCCCATCTCCTTTGGGAGGAACTGCCACCACCTGACCTTCAGGCTCTTCCTTCACCAGATGGTTCTGGTCCAGATATGGCTCTTCAGGGGTTTCAGGCCCAGGGAAGCCCAGAGCAAAAGGGAAGATGCCAGGTGGAAGGAACTGCCCTGCAGAAAGGGTCCCCAGGAGCCCTGTTAATGGGAATTTATTCAGCAGGTCAGGCAGCAATTTTCCCTGGAGACCATCCTGAAAAAAAACTTCCCGAGGAAGTAATTGACCGACCCTGGGGAAAAGCTGAAGAGGGGGTAGTATCATCAAAATGTCCTGGGAGGGGAGGTGGGTCTCCCTTGGGTCTCCTACTCGGGATCGATCTACCCTTATCCCCTTTTCCAAAGCGGCGCAAACAATTACCAGCACGTTCTCAGCACTAGGTCTAATTGGGTGAGTTTTTATTGTAGAAATGCGGCCCCTGAAGATGTGAGACGCGTAGGTGGGCCCCTGCGCCTTTCCACTGGCCTCCCACTGCCCGTGCCCACAGAAGGAACACAGGGTCCTTAGACCCGGGCGGGACCCACTGAAACCCCGCGTTCGGTCATTTCCCCAGGGGGATGCGGCCCCGGAGTGCCAACCTTCCAAAGTTCAGGTGAGTTCACGACGCTGAGATCCTAGTGGGGTCCTCCTCGGTGTCAAGGAGCAAGAGAGGTGGTGGCAGCAGTGGGGAAACAGCCACAGGGCCTGCGAGTCCAGACAGGTAGCTCCAGGCTAGTTGCACGCTCGCGGTTCCTGTCCCTTCCGTGTGCAAAGTAAGGAAGTCAGCAGGCGGCGAGCAAGCCTTCTGTGCCCGGGCTGGCGCGCCGCCTTTCAGGAAGGTTTCCCGACTGGACCCTTTGTCCAGAGGAAGAAAGATTCGGCCAAGGGATGAGAACCACGGTACCTACAGGTACTGGAATCGAGACCCTACACAGCCTCCCGACGCCTCGGTCTCCCTTTCCGCTGGGGTTGCCACTCTAGTTCAGGAAGGGTCTTTGGGTCAGGGCGCAGTGTTCCCAGGGGCCAGCGATCCCCGGCATCATGCCCTCTCTACCAGGCTCAAGCTGGCTGCTCTTGGCTAGGTCGGGACTGGGCGCCCGGCGGCCGTGGCTCAGTCCCACACTACACCGGCCGCGTCTTCCAGGGCGCGCGGGCATCGCGCAGCGAGCGGTCGTGGGGCAGCGCGGCAAAGGCCGAATGGCGCAGCTGGCAACCGATGAAGAGGACGACGAGCGCCACCGAGAGCAGCAGCAGGAAGAAGAGCAGCAGGTAGGTGGGCAGGTCGGGCTTTGTGGCCGCGCCGTCCCGCATACCGCGCGCAGTGGCCAGCTCCAGCGGCAAAGCGCCTTCTGCCTTGACCGTGGCTCCTGGGGCCAGCGCGCTGTCTACCGCCGCCTCGGGGCCGCCCGTGGCGTTGAATATGTCGCCGTACATGGCCCGCGGGTCCCGCCGACCCCAGCCGGACCGCTTCACTTGGCCTGGAGCATACTGGCGAAACCCGGCGCCTCCATGGCGCGCCTCTCCCGCCCTGCCGCGCTCAACTGACCGAGAGTCAGTGCCTTGGGCTGGCGGGGACTGCAAAGACCCCAGGACGCGTCCGCTCACTCGCCTCTGCGCTCAGCTGCCTTCCCTGCCGGCGGGCGGACCCCAGTGCTCGGGGCTGGAGAGTTCTATGCCGCGTCCTCGGGCTCACCGTTTCTCACCGTCGCCACCAGGACAGAGGTCCCAGTCACTGACTCGTCTTTCGGCTTTACAACAGCCAGCTCAGCTCGGACCCTCAGCTCCAGTGAGCTCCAGGTGCCGGGCACCTCTGGGCTGCGGCTGCTGGGAGAGGCACTCAGCGAGTGCAGCCGCAGCCGGGGGTCTCTGCTCAGCGCTGGTGGCAGAGCGCACGGAGGGCGGGTGGCCAGAGAGTCCTCCGCATCCTCCGGCGCTGCCGTCACCGCAGCGTCTCGGAGCAGTCCTGCAGCCTCGGGTCCCTGTCGAGACGCCCGGTGTTCGGCGAGCTTGTCCCCACTCGCTCCGGCTGCTGCACTCCTGTTTTGAGCAGGAGACTGAGCTTTCTGGCGGCTCTGAGCGCGCTCTGGTCCCGGGCGGGGGTGCGGGGGAGGGGCGGGACTGGCGGCGGCTGCCCGGGGGGACGGCTGCGAACCAATGAGGGCAAGAGAGGACGCGGCTGCGACTGCCCCCGGCCTGGCCTCACATCACTCACGGACAGAGGGACAGAGACAGGGACAGAGAGAAAGAGAGAAAAGCACGGGGTCACAGGAAGACTGACGGGCAAAGACACAGTTACAGACCTATGAACAGAGCCACACGCCAAACAGGGACAAACCGTTGAGGTAAGCAAACCAACTCAGAGACAAAGCTCAGCCGAGCGTGCACACCTGCATTCATCCTCCTACTTGACAGGCTCCCTCCAGGCATGGCCTGGTTTGTTCCTAGTGCCCACAGGCTGTTGGGTAGCTCAGGCCGGGCACACCACCTCCAAGGGTGTGCAGACGCGCTCCTAGACAAGCACATTCAAGCTGAGATTGGTTCCATGGACCCCGTGTCCTCTCCGGCTGCGTCCTGCCAGTCTGTGTGCATTCTGCACCGTGTGCACAAATGTTCAGCTCTCTTTTGCCTATTCTGCCTGGGCACAGAGGGGCAAGAAAAGGACACGGCGCTAGTAGTCCCCCCCCCCGCCCGCTCTTGGCAGCCCTGGAAAGGTGAGGTGGCCAGGACAGAGGTGTGCAATCAGTTGGATTGAGTGGGGAGGTATCTCCTTTCCCAGGAGTCTGAACTGCTCACTTCCTCTGAGAATTCTTCCAGGCCCCCCAGACCAGAGTGGGAACAACTACCCTGGACCACCACAGCCCCTGCACTTCTTAACAAGCACCACCCCTCACTTCTGGCCTGGCATTTTCTTTCAGGGCCAGAATTAGGGGGAGGTGGGTGAGAAGCCTAGGGCGCAATACTGAGTGACACACTCACTCTCAAGAGTCCACAAGTGCAGGGCTGGGAGTAGGCGTCTCCTTCAGTTTTGCCCCTAGATGCGTCACCCCTCACCCTGGTCCAGCCCTGTTGTCTGCTCATTTGTCAGAGACCCTCAAAGGGTCAGCCAAGTTCACATCTGTGTCTTCTCCTCTTTTCCTCTTCCCACATTCAGGTGTGCAATACATGGGGAGAGCTTGGTGACACCGGCTGAGAGAGCCAGTAGAAAGATGAGTTCGTTATTCTCTCTTCCCACCTCATGCCTGGCCATCAGCATAACAAGAACAACCAAGGTGTGCAGACCTTGGCCAGAGCTCATACCCACAAATCCCTGCTCAGCCCGGCAGAGTCACCTCTGTGAGCTCTTTGTCGAAGTTGAAACTGTGGTTCCAAGTCCTGACTCTACAGTGTTTACCAAATGAGGTACAAAAATGCCCTCTTTGATGTTTTTCACTTAGTCCCAGAGATAGGCCTGTGGGGGTTTCAGCAGGGCTTGACAGGATTCAGCACTGCCCCATCTGCCCAATCAGCATCCCAGGCAGAGCCCTCCTTGGTCCCGGGGGGCTGCCCGGTCTGCTTCCAGTGCACAGGGTGCTGGGCCCCTCCACGTGGCTGCTGCCACTGCCTCATTTTCCAGATGGCAAAGTTGGCTCTGAGAGGGTCCAGGGCTTATCCGTGTTAGCACAGGACAGCCACCATGTATCCGTGACATAGTAGCAGCAGTGGCAGTGGGCCCTCGGGAGATGGGGGGAGTCCCTTTCTCTGAAGACCTGACCTGTTTCAGACAGCATTTTTCTCAGCCAGCAGCATGCTAGAGAACATTATGTGAAGCCAGAACAGGCCTACTCATCAGGACTTTCAGCCAGGGGGAGACTTAGCTCGTCAGTTGGATGGAGGGGGTTGGGATGGAGGTGATGCTCCTGCTGTCAGTAACTTCCTGGGTCCTGGGAAGGCATGAATGGCTTCACCAATGAGTGGTGAGACCTGATTCAAAAATAAACGGCATAACATTCACCAGCCTGGTGAATCTCGAAACTGACTCCATCCCATCATCTGATCTGACCAGAGACTGGCAGGCTGACAGGACCACAGGACAGAACTGGAGACACCCTTTCTGGGATAGGAGACAAAGCCCTTTTGGAGCTTTCTCCTTGCAGAATCCTTTCTCCCTCACACCCCATCCTCTCTCCAGTTACCCCACTCCACTAACCAAACTGCAACCACTTCGAAAGCCCTGGCAAGACCATTCTCCAAGCCTCCTATGGACTATTCTCATTAGGAAAGCCGCTTCATTCCAGAGTCTGGGCTTGCTCTACTTGCTATTTAGTTATTAAAATGGTTATTGTAGGCCGGGCGTGGTGGCTCACACCTGCAATCCTAGCACTTATGGAGGCGGAGGCAGGCGGATCACCTGAGGTCAGGAGTTCAAGACTAGCCTGACCAATATGGTAAAACCCCATCTCTACTAAAAATGCAAAGAAATTAGCCGGGTGTGGTGGCTGGTGCCTGTAATCCCAGCTACTTGGGAATGCAGGACTTGGGTTGCTCAGTTTGGGGTTTGGCCTAGAATTTCCACCTGGGGTCTATATGGGAAGTGGCATGGCCTACCTTCCCCACTTTCTCTCAGGTCCACCATAATCCTAGATATGAACCCAGGAGGGGGACTTACTGACACCAGGCAGCTCATTTGGGAGGTTCTAAGTGGAATCTGGGTAAGGCCTCAGCCCTTTGGGCTGTAAAATGAGGGGTGATGGTAAATAAGTGTTTTCTGGTCCTCCTCTGGAAACACGCTGTGATTGTCCAGGAAATGGTGTGGAGCAGGGTGTCTGCAAAGGGTTTGGTGTGAATGAAAGGTCCCTGCAGCTCCACTGGTCACAGTGGCAGGACGGGGATGGTGGTGAAACAGGGATGATGGTGGTGGTGGTGGTGGTGGTGGTTGTGGGCAGGGAAGTCTTTGAACCTGATGTCCCCAACACTGCTCATTCCTTCCCCACAGCCGCTGCTGTTCCCATGCTGCATTTTATAGAAATGACACACGCAAGGTCTCCCACCTGTGAATGAAGAAGCTGGGACTCGGATGCGGAAAGTGGGGCTCCAGAGTCCATGCACGTAGCCACTATAATGAACCATCTGCCATGGCAGAATGATTCTAGTAACTAACATTCCTGGCCCTCTTACCACAGGCTGAGCACTAGGTGGGGGCTTAGCATTCATCTTTCTCCCCACAGCAACCTGTGATAGGCACTTCTATCACCCTCATTTTCTTAAGGAGAAAGCCAGAACCCCAGGAAGTGGTGTCACTTGCCAAGATCACATAGCTGGTCATGGTGCAGGGGACCCTCCAACTGTGGTCTGTGCTTGTCCACTCAGTCTGAAGCTGCATTTTGTAAAGAGAAGCTCAACAGAGAACATGTGGTCAAACTGCCTTCCCTTTTAGTACAGTCGGAGGAGGTATCTTGCCTTTTGGGGGGGCCCTGAAGTGGGGAGGGTACTGTTTCTTTTCTGAAAGATGTTCAGGGCCCTGAGAGGGCAGTCACGTTCCCTGCACATCCCCGGGCAGGAAATTAAACAAGGCTGGTACTGAGTAAATGCAGAGATGAAGTTTACACAGCTCTTTATACAAGCCAGAGTGACTTTCCATTAAGGGAGCTTTGTGTCACCATACATTTAAGTCTTTGGAAAAGATTATAAAAAGGGGCTTAGAGGTTGGCTTTGACAGGCAGAGGTCACGGGGTGGGACCTCAGGGCAACCTCTTTCCCATTATGTAGTTGTTGAGTGACACGCTTTTCTTCCCTGCTGACCTGTCTGCGGAGAAACCGAGGGAGGCAAGGCAAGGGTGCCTTTCCTGCCAGTGAGAGCCATTTGGCAGCTGTTTAATGGAAACTTGGGAGACTGGGAGCATTAGAGGCCCAGGATTTCATAAACTGTGCCATGCAGGCCTGTGGTGCCTGGTGGAGCTATTTCTGTTTCTTCCACACACCAAGGGAATTATTATTAAACTACTCAGCGTGACGCAGAAGCTGGGGGTGAAGATCAAAGGTGAAAAATCGCTGTCTGAAAGTTGAAGTCGGTTGCTGCTGGCGTGGTTTCCCCGTGTGGTGTGAGTCTGCCGGGTTGGGGTCGGTGGCTGCTGGCGTGGTTTCCCTGTGTGGTGTGAGTCTGCCGGGTTGGGGTTGGTGGCTGCTGGCGTGGTTTCCCTGTGTGGTGTGAGTCTGCCGGGTTGGGGTTGGTGGCTGCTGGCGTGGTTTCCCTGTGTGGTGTGAGTCTGCCGGAGCATGGAATGGCCGCTCCCTCTGTGAGTACGGACGATGCCCTTGCTTTCAGAATCGTTCTGTTTGTTTTTTAAATCATCACCCTGTTAGTGACTTTCTGTTTGTTTGTTTGTTTTAGATGACTTTGGCAACCATAGTGGTTGGTGACTTTAAGGTTCCATTTTAGAATGACCTTTTCTTTTTTTTTTGGAGATGGAGTCCCACTCTGTCGCCCAGGCTGGAGTGCAGTGGCGTGATCTCAGCTCACTGCAACCTTCGCCTCCCGGGTTCAAAGTGATTCTCCTGCCTCAGCCTCCCAAGTAGCTGGGATTACAAGCACCAGCCACCACACCCGGCTAATTTCTTTGTATTTTTAGTAGAGACGCGGTTTCACCATATTGGTCAGGCTGGTCTTGAACTCCTGACCTCAGGTGATCCACCTGCCTCCGCCTCCATAAGTGCTAGGATTGCAGGTGTGAGCCACCACGCCCGGCCTACAATAACCATTTTAATAACTAAATAGCAAGTAGAGCAAGCCCAGACTCTGGAATGAAGCGGCTTTCCTAATGAGAATAGTCCATAGGAGGCTTGGAGAATGGTCTTGCCAGGGCTTTCGAAGTGGTTGCAGTTTGGTTAGTGGAGTGGGGTAACTGGAGAGAGGATGGGGTGTGAGGGAGAAAGGATTCTACAAGGAGAAAGCTCTGAAAGGGCTTTGTCTCCTATCCCAGAAAGGGTGTCTCCAGTTCTGTCCTGTGGTCCTGTCAGCCTGCCAGTCTCTGGTCAGATCAGATGATGGGATGGAGTCAGTTTCGAGATTCACCAGGCTGGTGAATGTTATGCCGTTTATTTTTGAATCAGGTCTCACCACTCATTGGTTAGCACCTCAACATTTTTTTCTATGGCCTCAATGACATGTGACCTCATCTGCCTCTCTGAGTCCCTTTAGCAGTGTAACCTCAAGCTAAGTAGGTTACAGCCTGTAGGACCCTGGGACGGATAGACTGATTGTCACCCCCTGGACCCAATCATCTTGCCTTCTCTAGGAAGGGCAGAGGTTTGCATGATGGTGAAACTGCATTGCTCCTGCTGCCAGGGCTCAATTAGGGGTATTGGCTGGGGTCATGGGTGGGGTCGCTGCATGCTAAGGAATGAGCTGTCACTCTGGCCAAGGACTGGCAAGGAGACTAAAGCTGGGATAGGGCCGGTATATGGTCAAAGACTGGGAACAGGACTGTTGTTTAGGATCAGTTGCCAGGCTCAGGGGCCCCTGGTAGTCTGGCTAGCATCCTCAGGTCCCTGTCCCTGGGCTTCCAGGATAGGGGGCCTGGCCTTTGT